TGATCATGCAGTTACACATCTGGATATCCAGCAGGTTCCATAGATAGTGAGCAGTGTGGAGAACCCTGGTTCACATTCCTATTCCAAATCCAGGGCACTGCATTCATTGTCACATTCTTAACATCACCTGAGCTGGGTTTGACTAACTCAACACTGAGTGAGGGCTGAACCTAAGGATTCCCAGTCCATGTGTCTCAGTTACCCAATGAATAAACTTGTTGAGTCATCATTCTCTTTGGGAACACTAATGAATAACCGAGCAAAAGTGAACAATAAAGTTGGAAATGTAATATTCTTAGCGTGAACTTGGTGAAGCTTGTCAAAACCAAAATGATACATAGCTCAAAATTGCCAAGAAATTATCATATACATGAAAGAAAAAGAATTAAATCAGGTATAAGACTTCAAATTTTTAGAAGGCATAATATCTGTAGGTGGAAAATTCCAGAAAGAAATAAGCACAAGGATAGCAATAGGAAAAGGCTGCGTTTGGTAAGAAGAGACAACTATGAATTGGAAAGATGAATAAACAATTCAAGAAGTAATTTGTAAAAAGCTTGATTTGAAGTGTTGTTTTGTGTGGATGAGACACTTGGGACCTTATAGAAGGAGGAGACCAAATTACTAAATGACACAATGAATGGCACAATACACAATGAGAGGAGCCGTTTGCCACATCTTAGCTCATCTATCCTGATGATCTATGTTTCCTCTGTCCCATGAATGTATGTAAGGTATTCACCTCCATTATCTTGCCCAATATATCATTCCCAGTATTGATCACTTGTTGTGAGAATTTTTTCTGATGGTGTGTTCTGATTTCACCTATGTGCAGTGTTGATCCATGTCTTCACTTTCCCTGAGCACACTGATACAGTTTAAGGTAGCCCATATCTCATCCATATCCATGCAATTTAATAACTTGTACGTGCTTAGAGGATCACTGAAGCTTACATCAAGAAAGGGCCCCTTTAAAGGAGAAACTACTTCTACTCACTGCGGAGAGAGCTGTGGCCTCCTGTTGTGAGGTCCTGATCTTGGTTGAAGTCTTCCACCTGAGATAAATGAGTGTGCCGTATAAAACTCAATAACTGAATGTAACCAGCTTCCGTGAGCGCTGCTTATAACTTCTTGAATCAGTGCAATCAGTTACAATCATAGATATTTTATAACGAACCTCTTCAGAAATGCTATTACACACCTCAGGAGTTGAACCCAGGCCTCCTAGTCCTGAGGTAAGCTCAGGAGCACTTCATACAAAAGCCCCCTCAGCTACATAAATATTAAACAAAGAACTGCAAATGCTGGAAATCTGAAACAAACAAAAACATGAAATTGCTGGAGAAACTCAGCAGGGTCTGGCAGTAACTGGACATAAAACTAAGTTAATGCTTCAAGTCCAACAACCTTTTTACAGTTATGGTTATACAGTGACTCTCAAAACCTCTGGACATCTCCAAAGCATATCACAGTTAATTTCATACAGGGGGCCTTTTACAACTTGACCTCTACAACAGCACCGCAAATACTACCGACTGACGTTGCAAGAGATTTTCAAATTCTTTCATTTTGACTTTTCAAAATTCAGATAAAAAGATGGATATTTAGAAATAAAGAGGAAAAAAAATCCAAACTGCATACCACCAGGAAAATATTAATGCTTCTCACACAAACTCTTTATTGTAATTATTTTGGAAAGCAAATAGATGATACTAGCTTTCTTGGAAACCACATTGCCAGTTTACCTTAGTAGGAAATTTCTCCACCCACCCTTCCAAGGAATTTTCTGAAATGAAAGAGCTAAAATGTGAAATAAATCCTGAAGTCATGAAGGTATGAGTAATGTGGTCATTGTTAAATTAAAAACTAATGCCTGTGGAAACAATCAGATGGCAAAAATCTCCAGAAATAAAGGAAAACCCTGTGCAGCTTAGGAAGTATCTGTGGACAGATGCTAAAACCAGAAGCCATGTAGGTGCTGTGCTAAAATTCAGCGGTGCTTGGTCATAATTGCCAATTACCATGATTTGAATTTGCCTGCAGAGGTTTAGCCCTCAAGTGCAGAGCTAAAGTGATTTTTATCAATGATCTCCATGCATCCACAGAATGGTGTTGAGTGCTCAAATTACCACTCTACCACAGCTGGGCACAGAACACCAGTGTTCTTGGAAGCAGCACTGAGGTCCTAACCGAGGTGCGCCAGTGGATGGTGGATCAGCCTGTGGATGTGAGGAGGGTACCTCGACCTCCTTTTCCCGTCTTCTGCAGCAGTTGATGGTACTTGGGCTTAATTTAGTAATCTTAATGTAATGCTATGTCTCCATTTACGCTATTTGCAATACTGTCTATTATGTTATTGGCAAATGCTGACATGTGGCTTTCCATCCTATCATCTGTGGCATTAATAAATAGTGAATAGTTGAGAGTCAAACGGAGATCATTGCAGGTCACCAGTGGAAATATTCTATTCATTATCCCTATTGTGTTTGTATCTTTCAAGTAATGTGTTAAAGAGGTCAATACTTTGACTGTAATTATACAAGTTCTATGGGGTCTTCCCCTAATTTCTAAAACTTAACACTGGTTTGAAGGAATTCATAAGGAAGCTAGGCCCCAGAGAAAATGTACAAAAGTTTTACCAGAATGACAACAGTAATGAACAACTACAGTTTTGTGAGGAGACTTGAGAAGCTGGGATTGCTCTTATAGAGAAAAGAAGGTTAAGAGAAATGTAAGAAGAGATCAGTAAACAGAAGATACAGGTTTCAGGTGAACATCAAAACAATTCCTAGACTACATCAGGTAACAGTCAGTTACAATCGGGAGTGCAATGGCCATAAGGGTGGTGGAAACAGATTCAATAGTGACTTTCCAAAGGGAATTGGATTAACACTTGAAAACATGCCCATTTGGGGCAAGAAAAAGTAGTGGGATAGCGCTGCACAGAGCCAGGCCAGCCACAAGTGGGCCAAATGGCCTTCTTCAGTGCAGAATTATACTCTGAACAATTCTTTGAATATTTTCAAAAGCTCTGTCAAACTCATAAGTGCCAGATCAACGTAGTGAAATATTTGCAAAACCTAAAGGAACAGAACATGTATGACTTTGCATTATTTAGCAAGGCAAAATGATGGGAATGTGGCAGGTTTGAAGTGAGTCTGTTAAAAGCATGTGCAACACATGTTCTAATACAATCAGCTTCATATTTAAGATCTGGATCCCACTGTCAAACTTGTCAAACAATTGGGTACCATTGAAAATTATTTTTAATAATTTATTCTGTGTGGTAGACCAATCAGTGGTAACCGCCAGAACGTTGACACTGGAGGATTTAGTGAAGTTAATGCCATTGAATGTCAAAGGCCAATTAGAATCTTTCTTGTTGGAAATGATCATTCCTTGATACTTGTGTGGCACGAATGTTATTTGTCATCTGCCAGCTCAAGTCCTGATGTTGTCTAGTTCCTGCTGCTTTTTGACATGGACTGTTACTGTCTTATAATAGATTTAAACCTGAATTCAGTCTTTCCCGGGCTCTGAAAGTTGATGAACACATCACTTCCCTTGGTCCTCCCTTCCTGTTACTATTTACATGCTGTAAAAGTCCCAAATCACTGCCAACTTGCCATTCTTCCTAAAGTATTTATATCGCCTGATCTCTTTAACTTTGGTGCAGCCCTGAACTTTGATTTCTCAGTAACGAAAAGGAACTTGCATTTGAGGGAGTTTCTGTAGTTTGCATGGTGATGGAAGAGCTAAATATAAGGCTTTATTCGATCATAAGCTGAATATGTAGTGCTTATATAGCCAAGAATTTTTGATGCACAATGTGGTACTTTTTTCTCAGGGATGAAGTCAGAAATTTTTTAAAAAAAAGTTTCGTCAACTGGTGTAGCATTCAGAAACACATAAAAATTAATGAATCAAACAAAATTCCTTACTTTCAGGCTTGAACGCAAAAATTAACCTGACACTTCACTGCAGCCCTGAAGAAGTGCTGTACATATGGAGTTGCCATGCTTCAGAAGAGAAACTAAACTAACGCTCCATCTGCCTGCAATGGTGGATGCGAAAGATCCTATAGCACTATTTTACAGAGAAGGTGAATCAGCCCCAGTGTCCAGGCCAATATTTATCACTCAATCAACATTAAAAAGAAACAGATTCTGAGGTCATTGCCATGTTGCTATTTATGAAGGCGTGTTTGCAAATTGGCTACTTCGCTTCCTGCATTACAACAGTGACTGTGCTTGAAAAAAAACTTAAGTTGGCTGTAAAGCACTGTGAGATGTTTGTTGGATGTGAAAAGTCCTATTTAAATGCAACTCTTTCTTTTGTTCCTTATCCAACCTCTAGTGAAGGACTTGTACGTTTGGAGGTGACCTCTGATACTTAATAGCTGGACTTTATCCTGAGCTGCGTCAATGTTCATTGGTGAGCTCTTTCAGTTAATGTGGAAGCAAGGAACCATTCTGCAAGCAGGATTTACAAATGGAAAAGAACTCAGCAAACATGCGACAATCACTGAGGAATTTGACTCCATTCCAACACCAGCAAAATGGTCAACCGAATTCTTCTGAACCATTTAGTGGTTGAAATATTGCACCACAGGGGGTTCTGCTTTAACGCGATAGTTGCATTCCTGGACAACATCGTGTTATAGAAAATCGTGCTATAGAAATAATGAGGATCATGGGAAAAGCAGGGTTAGGGGCAGACCACCAAAAAAATCACTCAAAAATCACTCAAAGACCTAAGACAAAGGAAAGCATGGTTTGATTAAATGTCTAATTCATATCTAATAATGAAATAAAACCAAATTTAACACCTTATCTTGAAAAAATGTGAAGATGACTTGATGGTGGAGGAGGTTTTGTGGTTGCTCTGTTGTTAATGCAGGGGCTGAGGGTTGTCATCATCATCATCACCTTCAGGTGCAGCTGTGGTTGCAGGGTTAGGGTGAAAAATAGTTAATCCAGAAGTGGATGGCTGTGGTTCATTGTCTTCTGACTGTTTCTTGGAGATTGGCTTAAAAAAGACATCCAGTTTTTGCTACTTTGCCCTTTTTCTTTCATAGGGTGCCAAATAAGATCTTATTCCACAAGCAGCTACCCTGTTGCATACTGTATTGTAATTGTTGTCCTCTAAGAGCTGCAACTGCTTCTCAATTTCCCTCAGGATAGAAGACAATACAGACGTGGAAAGCTCTTGTGGTACTGCATCCTAGACTTCATCTTTGTCAGCTCCAGCATCCACTCACCCCTCAGCGACAAGTTGTTGTAGATCAACTGTAGAGAGGTCTTCACAGTGGGACTCGAGGAGCTCTTCAACATCCTCACTCTCCACCTGTTCAAATCCAACTGGCATTGCAAGATCAACACAATCTTCTTTGATTCTTGAGGGCTCCTCTGATGGATCAAAGGTTTTAAAATCTTGAAAAAAATCTGGGAGAAGCTTCCGCCAAACTACGTGCAAGCAGTCCTTACTGACATCAACCCAGGCCTCCACGATAATGTCAACTGCATTCTTGATGTTAAAGCTCTTCTAAAATTGAAGAGCACTATCCTTATCCCCATCAGTGGCTGCAGTCAGCCTCTTAAATGTGCGCCTTAAATAATAAACTTTAAAAGCTGCTACTGCACCCTATACCATGGGTGGAAGCAGTGTGGTTGTGTTTGGGGGTAGAAATAGCACTTGGATGTTTTCAGAAAGCTCACCAATGGTGGGAGGATGGCTTGGTGCATTATCCAGGATGAGGAGAATCTTGAAATCCAAATTTTGTTTTCCTGCAATACTTTCTAAAAACACCTTCCAAAACATCAATAAGGTCACAAATGCAATTGTGTTGTAGCCAATACAAGTTCATGTTTTAGAAGTTGCGTTCCCCTATTCATCAGTCACATTATAGCCGATTGACGTTGCTGGAGCACGCATTATAGCAGAAGCCCCTGCATCTGCTGCTAGAGTCAGTACAGTTCCAGAGAATGTCAAGGAGTCGCTAATATGGCGTTTGCAGTTAGACAGCTCCAGGAGAGATGCCAAGAACAGAAAGTGGAATCCTACACCATGTTTACTGACCTGACCAAGGCCTTTGATACAGTCAGCGTTAGGTAACGGCGAATTTGTCTGGTCTGTGAAATTTAGGAAAATACATTGACAGTTCCAATGACAGCATGCTTGTGCATGTCCTGGACGATGGGGGTATCCTTTGACCCATTCCAAGTCACGAGTGGAGTTAAACAGGGCTGTGAGCAAGTGCCAACCCTCTTCAACATGTTGTTCTCCTCCATGCTCTCTGATGCCTTCACGATGTGATCCTGATAGCAAGATCAAATACAACATGAAGAGGAAGCTGTTCAATCTGAAACAATTCCAGACAAAGTCCAGGTTCTCCAAGGATTGCTTCAGGTTTTCTGTTTGCTGATGACTGTGCACTAGCTGAACAAAAATCATTGGCCTTACAATACGTACAAAGAAAGCTGGAGTAATTCACCAGTCTGCTCCAGGAAAGCCCTTTCTCTTGTCTCTTTCAGTCCACAAGCAGTCCACAAGTCATAGGTCGATACGTTCACTTATCTCAGCAGCACACTGTCTCGAGTTGTCCATACTGATGATGAGGCACATGAAAGAATTGCCAAAGCAAGTGTAGCCTTCTCCAGATTTCGAATGTCAGTCTAGGAATGAAGAGGAGTAGGTCGGCATACCAAACTGAAAGTCTATAGAGTAGTAGTCCTGCCCACTCTGTTCTATGAATTGGACTCTGTATCAAGAAATTCAACCACTTCCATCTGAGTTGCCTTCAGAAGCTTCTGAAGGTCAGATGCCAGAACAAAATACCAGGCGAGATGCTCTCTTGGGCTGGCATGCCAAGCATCTACACTGAAAGGAGACAGCGATAACTGAGCTGGGTCATGTAGCCAGAATGCCTGACACTCACTGACTAAAGTGATTCTTCTATGGAGAGACGGAGTTTTGGGCAAACTCTCATGACAGTCAAAGGAGGTGAAAATTGGACACACTGAAAGCTTCACAAGGAGTTCTAATAAAGACCTCTATTTTTGGGAGAAGCTCGGTCAGGATTGTTGTACCTGACAAAAGCAAATAAAAATGGTGCAGTCTGCTTCAAAAGCAAATGCATGTCAGAGACAGAGAAAAACACAAGGAGACAACATTCTGAGCCAGCAGCTCATTCAGAGCTCCACGGCTGTCCTTTTTGCAGCAGAACATTGTGACTGCAGTTCCACCTCAGTCACCTACAGACCGCCAGAATTCTGCCATGCTCCCCAGGAGATGAACATGTTCATTTTCGTCTCAAAGGATAAAAAGAGGCAGCAAGAGCATAATCTCTAAGGTGGGCATAGCCATTAAATCTAATTTTGTAGCATGGATTACTATACAAGTGAAGAACAGGTATCCTAGATGGTTTTACCTTTCCCCGTAGCCTGGTGACACTGTGGTCAGCTGCAGGACTTCCTAGACATCTAGGGATTATGTAACTCGACAGTAACCAAGAAAAATGCATCCGGAATAGTAAACCAATACCTTACTGTCCATTAGGAAGAGACAGTCAGTTCTTATGCTGTATCCATGATCTTCATCACTGAGAAAAACAAGGGTAAGAGAGCAAGGGAACATCATCATTTCCAATTCCCGTCCAAGCCAAATCTTATCTTGATTTGGAAACATGACACCGTTCACCACGAGGTCAAATTCCTGAAAATCCCTCCCTGACAACATTGTCGGGATACCTTTGTCACATGGACTACAGCAGTTCAGGAAGCAGTCTCAGTATCTATTTCTCAAGGGTTGGGAAATAAATTGTCAACAGTATCTTAAGCCAAATAGTGGATCAATAATTCACGAGAGAATGTCAATAGATTTATTTGGGGTTACTTTAAAATTAAGCATTAAAACATAACAGACAATGATGATAGAAATGACTTTCAGGCATACCTGACTGTGTTGGAGGTTGTGGATACTTTGCCTGATAATCAGGGCGATGGGCGTGGTATGGACGATAAGCAGGCAGCTGCTGCTCCTGCGATGCCATGTGATATATACCTCCTCTACTGTGGGTACCAGGCCTTTCCCAGTTGTCTAACAATACAGAACACACGACAAACCCATTTTAATCAATAGATTAGTCCCCAACAAATAATTATCAAGTGAGTTTTACTAGACTGTCTCTCTCATGCACTTCACAACAAAAAAATGCACAACTTTCCAAGAAGCTTTTAAGGCATTTTGTCTCCCTTTACCTGCTGATTTTTCCACTTTCTCGCTTACGGACACTGTCAAAGACCATTATTAATCAAATATTTCATCCCGTTCCAGTGGTGTCTACAATTCAGGAAAGATATTGAACAATGAACACTGAATGCAGCCCTGGCCACTGACCTGTTGTGCACAGCCGGGACCGGCTCTGTATGTCTCTTTTCTTTGTCACGCAAATACTGTTAATGAGGGACTTCAGCTTCTGGAATTCCTGCAGCAGAATATCCTACAAAGGAGAACCAAAATGATCAGCATTCTGACAAAACAAAATCACATGACTTCAGAGATTTTGTAACAAAAACGTGCACTGTATAGCACCACACTATCTGACCGTTTCCGTCCTCGTTTCCAAGGGCTGGGTCATACAATTCCACTGGATTGGGCTATGCTCAAGGGCAGGGGACTGTAATGGTCTGCCAGTGACTTCTGCAGGAAGTTCTCAGGCACATTGGAAGGATTTACATACTTACGATCAACTTGTTTGGCCACATTACGAACGCACATTCCACGGCCAACAAGCCTTGGAATGGAACTTAAACTGTAGCTTCTGGCCCAGAAGTAGGAACTTTACCAGGTACTGTATCACTAGACCTCAATCTAGCAGCTTTAACACAGTAAACAGTCACATGCGACTTCACAGGAACATAATTAAACAAAATTTAACTCCAATGCACATCACAGAGATGAACAAAAGTTTGGTTAAAGAGGTAGATTTTAAAGATTGTTTAAGGGAAGTGAGAGAAAGAGAGGTAGATAGATAAAGAGGTGGAGAAGCATTTTTCTTTCTTCATGGGATGAGGGCATCGCTGGCTAGGCAGCGTTTATTGCCCAGGTGGCAGATAAGACTCAGTTAGGGGTCTGGAGTCACAGGTAAGGATGGCAGTTTCCTTCCCTAAAGGACAATAACGAACAAGCTGGGCTTTTCTGAAAATCGGCAATGGATTTGTGGTCATCATTAGATTCTTAATTCCAGATTTTTTAAATAATTGATTTCAAATTCTATCATCTGCCATGGCGGGATTCAAACCTAGGTCCTCAGGACTCATCTGGGCCTATGGATTAACAGTCCTGCAATAATACCATTAGGCCATCGCTTCTCTGCGATAGTTTAGAGAAGAAATTCCAGGGCTTAGGGTTTGGCAGCTGAAGGCACGCCTGACAACAATCAAAATGACTAAAATCAGGGATGCTCAAAAGAGCAGAATTGAAGAAATGCATAGGTTTTAGAGTCCAAAGAGAGGGTTGGAGTCAGTGGCTAGGAAACTTGTCATGAGGAGTGCTTCACTCATCCCATTATTGGGTTGAAGGAAGTATTAGCTCATCCAGTACAGAAACTAAACAAATGGTGTAGGAGATTCAGTGAAGATCGAGGTGAGGTAGAGCTAGTTATTGTCAATATACTGTGCTTTCGGATGTTGTCACTAAGGGGCAGCCTGTAGATGAGAAATTGGAGGTGACCAAAGATTGATCCTTGGGCAACACCAGAACTAACAGTATGAGAATGATTAGAGAAGATGTTGCTAGTGATTTTTTGGCTTTGACTGCATAAGGCACAACAGTCCCAACTGAGCCAGTGGATAAGTGAGATAGGATATAATTTGAGCCTTTGGAAAAGGCTGTTTCAGTACTGTGACAGTGGCAGCAATCTAATTAGAGGGAACTCCTGCATCGGTGAGCACAGATTTAGAAGGCAATAAAATATTCAAATACTTGGGTGAAGAAAGTGAGGTTGAAGGATGGATCAATAGTTTGCAAGGACCTAAGAGATCAGGGGGTTTTCTTTGGAAATACGTGGATGATGTTGGCAGAGTTGAAAGAGGAAGAGACAGCCCCTGAGGGAAGGAAACAATCAGGAAGAAAAGTTCAGTTCAATGGATCTCAGGGACAAGAAAGCGAGAGGTGGATCTCAAGGACAGGCTGAGCTCAGGATGGAGGTAAAGGGCAGGGGAGAGAAACTGGAGGAAAATGCAGCTTCTCGGCCAGGAAAAGGGAGAAATGTGGTAGAGGCAGCTGATGACCTCAATCTTGCTGACAAATATTTCCATGAGCTCCTTGGAGGTGATGCTGCAAGAGACAAAGGGAAAAGTTTAAGAAGATGACTTGAAGTGAAGTTGGGGTTTCCTCTAGCAGAGGTCAGTATGAACTGCTTTCGCTCTATGTGATTCTGGTAATGATCAACTAAACAAACAGTAATTCATAAATGTTCAAGTTTGTGTCCATGACACTCAAGACAGCGAGATAAGGTAAAGGAGAACAGGGAGAAAGACCAGGACGAGGATGTAATGTAGACATGATCAATAAAGATAGACGCAATTGTGTGACACAGCAAGGTCAGTAGCTGATGAAGTATTGCGATGAATGGAGGCTAGACACCTATGAGTTAACTATCAGGAGGAAGGAAGATGCAGAATAACTAGAGGTAAATTCTTCTGACTGCCTTCCATTAACAACGTGGATGTTGGCTGACAGGAAGTGATGCCATGTCTGATCAAATAGCTTGCTGGTCAACACTGTTGGAACTAATACAAGAAAAATTAGTGCTTTGGTGAGCGGGGGGTTTTGAAATCTGCTTGTTGTGTCTTCAGCAAATGAGGGTAAGCTGGCACACTGAAGTGAAAATTCTTGTTATTAGTTATACTGACCACTGATAGGATTTTTGGAACAAAAAGAAGACAATGTGTTCAGCAGTGAAGTGAACATGCTCCTCAAATCCTTTTTAAACAGTATTCCTATCCAACAACATTGCTTTAGATACGTACAGCGAGTAAAACATTTATTTCCTCACATATGTGGATAGAAGCTGACCTTATGTGTACCATCAAGATTAATCATTAAATTCATCTTCTTTGTAATAACTGGTTTTGCATGCACATTACCAGATGGTATTTGCTTTGGAAAACAACTTACTATAAACCACCATCATTAGTTGAGAATCACCTCAAGCATGCACACTCCATCTGTATACCTACATTCCTTTCTAGAAGGTCCTCTGCTCTACATCCACTGTGAGACTGCAGGTACTTTGTGTGGAAAAGTTTTCCATCAAATACCTTCCACGGCATCAGGTCGCCCATTTTAAATGGAAACCCACAGGCACTATTAGCTGAAAGGAGCTCAGACAGGCCTCGAACAAACAGGGAGGCCAGGTGTACAGCCCGAGAGTCAACATGGGGCACCTGAGAAAGAAAGGCAAAGATTAATGACCAGACAATGACGGCAAATTATTCACTTGCTGCACTTACTGTACAAGACACGGGCTGTCAGCAAGGGGTCCATCTGGTAGCATCTCCGCAAACTGAACGGTTAAAGCAGGTTTGAGCTGCACAGCCAGAAATGTGCTCCAAACAAATTGCAAACACATTTTGTCTCTGGGTGAGGTAAAATCAAGGACTAAGCTTCACATGTCACATTGTTTTGCCTCCATTGCTGATTTAAGTACAGTTATGGAGTTTGCTGCTCACACCTGTAATTGCCACTTAACACAACAGGAGAGGGTGAAGCAGTCTTTTTACTGAAGAATTTCTGAAGAAGGGTCTTGACCCGAAACGTCAGCCTTCCTGCTCCTCTGATGCTGCTTGGCCTGCTGTGTTCGTCCAGCTCTACACCTTGTTATCTCATATTCTCCAGCATCGGCAGTTCCTACTATCTCTGTAACAGTTTTTTTTACTGTTGGTTTTGAAAGAAGTCAGTAATCCCACGATACCAGGCTACAGTCCAACAGGTTTTTTTTTGAAAACACAAGCTTTTGGAGCATTATCCCTTCATCAGGTGAAGAAACAGAAGTATGGGACAACTGTACACATTACTGGTTAAACAGAAATGCTTGATGCAGTCATTGATTTCAATCCTTTGCTTAACTTATCTGAGTAAGTATTAAGAATTATGGGTTCTCCAGTTAGAAGCAAATACGATTATTTTTATTAATCAACTTTCGATTTAAAGCTATTTAAGACAAGTCAGGAATTTAAATGCATTTCTAGTAGACCTGAGAAACTGTGATCACTGGCAACATCACAGGCAAGTTTGACAAGGTAAACTAGGGTAAGGATGGCAAATATAAAACCTTAAAGAACATGCATTTTTATTAATCAGATATTTTCAAGGCCACTTTAAGTGATGTCAGTTTCACCTTCCAATATTTTCCAATATTTTTCTTTCAAATAAATTTCAAATTCAAAATACCTTGAGATTTGAGCTCACGTCCCCTGGATTACTAGCCTTGCTGGATTACTAGTCCTGCTCCTCAATGTACTAGCCCTATTCCCAAGATTACAATCCTTGCTCCCTGTATCACAAGCCCTAGCAGGGTCAGTTTAGCTCAGTTGGTAGGACGACTGGTTTAAGACACAGAGTGATGTCAATAGAATGGATTTAATTCCCATACCGGCTGAGATTACCCTGAAGGATTCTCCTTCTCAACCTCTCCCCTCACCTGAGATGTAGTGACCTTCAGGTTTAACCACTATCAGTCATCTCTCTCTAATAAGAGAGCAGGCCTATGGTTCAGTAAGACTATGGTGGCTTTACCTATTATCAGCCCTTTTCCCTGGATTACTAGCCCCTCTCCTTGGATTAACAGTTTAGAAACATAACACAACTAGATGATGCAAATGTGTTTTTTTTTCTGCCCTTCCCTCCTAAGGTGCTGGCGCCTGGATGGATTGTGACAATGTATCACATGCAGGCAAAAGACCCTGCAACAATATTTAATGGCCCCGTTGGTTGATCCTATGATCTCAGAGTGGAGAGTACCAATCAAGCTGTGCCAGAGGTGCCATCTTTTGAATGATACATTAAACCAACCTGCTCACCTGCCCTCTCAGGTCAATGTGAAATATCCCTTGGCGCTCAAAGAAGAGGAAGCAGGGAAACATGTCCCATGTCCTGGGCAATACTGATCGTTCAATGAAAATCACCAAGACTGAATCAGTGGTCATTACCAAATAGCCATGTGTAAACTGACTGCCATATTTCCCATGGCATCATAGTGACTACACTTCAAAAACATTTATTTGGCTACAAAGTGCATTGAGGCATTTTGAGGTCCTGAAAGCCACTATGCAAATATAAATCTTTTCCTCCTCTTTTACACCAATAACACTCTATGCACAGAAGCCCCACAGACATATAAATCCCCACAATTTGAATCTATGAATACTTAATGCAATGTGCACCTAGAATTACTGCTTCATTTTGAACAGTCCTACCTCAGGGCTTTCTGTGGGGTAATTATAATTTTGCAAATTGAAGCAAAAAAGGCAAAAAAAAAGAAAAAGGCATGCAGCAGTCACTCTCACAGTGAGGTAAATGGGAGGATTAAGTTATCTAGGGTTGGTAAATAAATGAGGAGAGTATGCATGCATTCATTCATCAGGACAGGCAGGGGACGTTTTAAAAAATCAGCTCAAAAATGTGTAGGTGCATTCTGCAAATCAACGTGCCTGAGAAGTTAGTTTTTTGGAGGGACCGGTGGCCAAATCCCATGCCAAGAAAGTGAGTGCAGCCGAGAAAGAAATAAGGGAACAAAAGAAGAAAGCCAGAGCCTTGGTTAACTGAACGGTTCCCGCACATGGGCAGAGAAAGCAGCTGATCAGCAGAAGTCTAAAGACAATAGTCCAAATGCAAGGCATCTAACGTTACGTTAAGACGAAGGGATTCCGTCTGCTGGGTTATAGATAACAGACAGTAGGGCTTTGTCAACTACAACTGACAGCAGTTAAAACAATACCAGCGACCCAGCAAATTCGCTACAAAACCCATTGCCAGTTTCCAAGCGTGCACTGTATTTCAATTAAGCTCCTCATTGACCTTTACAGTATGGGATGCATATAGGTATGGGAAAATTCAGTAAGAAAAGTCTGTGCCTTATAATCAGCATAATTTCGACAAATTTCACGTGAAATAACTAACTATATGGGCAATGCCCTGAGATTTATTCTGAATTTTGCTTTTATTTTTGATTTCTCTCTCCCTCAAGTCATCATTCATTCTTCATCTGTTAGTTCAGTCAAGAGATGGCATGCTGGTCAGTTATTCACCAGTTCACGGCTAAGCCCAAAATTGCATCACTTGTTCATTTGTCTTCATTTTCCACTGGATACTTCTGGGAAAACGTACCCCTGGATAGAAATTTGCTTCTCCCAAATTGTTTGTGCTGAGTCTAATAGTATTGCCTCATGCTGCTGCCCCAAAGTTAGCTGATTCAGGATAGATCCTGGGATCAAAACTTGGAGCTTGCTGGTGTGTGGGGATTCATTGTTAAAATGGACCGTGCCTTTACCAACTGCAGGGAATCAGGATATGTCCATCACAAACTCACTAAATGAGTTAACCTAAGTATCAATAAGATGTATACATGCAGTTTGAGAGCAATTTGCTGCAAATTCCTAATGAATAAATGTGGTATTCTAATTTTAAGTATATAATTGTTCCACACTAAACTTCAGCCACTTAACTTTGCTTTACAGCAGCTAGCACAGTGAAGTACACGTGTCATAATTCGACTCATTTTCATTTTACCATCTAATCCCAGAAGCCAGCCTCTAACATGCTGGTCATTGGATTCCTTTACACACAGATTTCATTCCTGAAAAAAGATCGTTCCAATTTTGTTTGAAGGGCTTAAGGCTTCCATTTTCAACCTGGATTTCTTCCTCAGTTATAAGTATTTTCAGAAATGCTCCTGTCACGATGCATGGCACATAAACGGCTATAAATTGTTAGGAGTGCTTTACAAAAATTTAACACGTGCCAATGAGGTGGGAGACGGATCAAACAACATCATGAAGTAGAACAGAAAAGCTCAAAACTATTTCTGCTCCAGACCTCCAGATGCGTACCTGCCTTGAAAGGGATGTGACGTATTTGTTACTCTATAAACACAAAAAAATGAAGGATTAATGGCTCCTCTTGTTACAGAATGATACTCTATGCATTGTGGAAGGAGCTGAACAAGTGTATCACACCATTGCCACTGAATGACCTGGAGCTTTTATTTCAGAGTCTGGCACTGGGAATTGCAACACTTTAAGTGGCTACCCTGGAGTAATAGCATGGAGTCTGGGAATAAAACCATGGAATCTGGTACTTATGGTAATGGTGTGGATTGAGGATTTTGTTGGGCCATAAGTTTTGGGTACTGTTGAAGGGGATAGTCTCTCAGAGGAAAATATAAGTGGTAGTCAAATCTTGGCACTAAGAATGAATCTTATGTTAAGCGGGGTTTGTCAAGATTTAAAAGAATAATTGTTATAGGGCAAGGGCACAGACAGGAGACATTGCAGCCGTGAACGTGAATCTAAGATGGTATGTTGCCTTCCTGGTGTCAGGGTTAGGGACGTCTCAAAGGGGTTGAAGCATATTGTTAAAGGGGAGAGTGAGAAGTCCAAAGTTGTTGTATACGTTGATAAGAACAATATAGTTAGGAAAGGGCTAAGGCTTTGTAGAGTGAATATATTATATTATTATAATATATTATTATAAAATCATGAGCGGCATGGATAGGGTGAATAGCCATGGTCTTTTTCCTGGGGTGGGGGAGTCCAAAACTAGACGGCATAGGTTTAAGGTGAGAGGAGAAAGCTATAAAAGGGACCTGAGGGATAACACACAGAGGGTGGTGCATGTGTGGAACGAGATGCCAGAGGTGGTGGTGGAGGCTGGTACAATCACAACATTTAAAAGAGATCTGTCTGGATATATCAATAGGAAGGATTTAGAGGGATATGGGCCAAATGTTGACAAATGAGACCAGGCCAGACTGGGATGCCTGGTTGGCATGGACAAGTTGGGCCAAAGGGTCTGTTTCCATGTTGTATCATTCTATGACTCTAAGAGGTTAGATAGAAGGCTAAAAATCAGAACCTCAGAGGTAGTAATCTCTGTTTTACTCCCAGTGCCACATTTTAATAGGACTAGGAATAAAAAGAGAGGGCAGATAAATCAATGACTGAAAAGATGGTGTAATGTGCAAAGATTCAGATTTTTGGATCACTGGGGCAGAGAAGACCTGTTCATAATGGATGGATTTCACCCGAACTGGAAAGGGGCCAATATACTGGCAGAGAGATCTGCTAGTTCTATTTCAGGATCTTTTAAACTAGTAGAGAGAGGGTGTGGGGGGGTTTGAGTGGCAGTAAAAATAGAAAGACAAATGAGGATGGTTCTGAATCAGAAA